GGACCTAGACGTCGGTTTACGAGAGTTCCGACCCCGAGGGGTGGCTAGCTTTCCTACTGCCACACGATAAGCCTATGGGTGCACGGGGGGTGGGTTCTTCCCCTCCTCGCTCTCTCCTCCCGATTGGGAGGGGTGCAATTCGTTGTTTTAGGTGTAATCAGCTTGGTCATCGAGCTGCTGACTGTCCTATACCTCCTGTGTTGGCTGCTGCGTCCAAAACACCATCATCCATGGAGAAGGGTCGAGAACGAGTCCGGTCGTCATCAGAATGGTCCAAAGGTGCCACACCTACGCTGACATCATTGTCTGGCCATGGATCAACAATGGAGCCGAGACCCCTTCCGCTCCAGGGGAGCACTCCGATGGCCTCGGACAGCAGTGAAGACGACGCAACTGGGGACCCCATGGTGAGTGGCCCGATACGACCTTTCGTAATACCGGTGGTTTTACGACACTTACGTACCTCAGGAATGGTGCAACGGGACGCCCTCATTGATTCTGGCTGTACCCAATGTCTCCTTCAAAAATCTGTAGCCTTGGAGTTGGGTCTATGGATGATGTCATTGCGTATCCCCATATGTTTCGAACAAATGGACGGGTCGTTATTGGGGGGAAGGCCAGCAACCCAGGTAACCAAGCCGGTCCGTTTAGAAATAGGGGAACATTGGGAAAGGATCCGCTTTGTGATTGTTGACACTATGGTCAAGCCCCTTATTCTCGGCCTGGCCTGGTTAGACAAGTGGAGACCTACCATATGGTGGGAGGGCGGATACCGAAAATTGCATTTGAGTCTTGGCCCTGACCCAGTGCCAGAGGAACCGACCAGTAGAGCAGAGGAGAAAGGGGAGGCTATACACAGACAGCCACCAACAGGGTACCTTAAGGAGTATAGTGACCTATCGGCTGTCTTCAACGAAGAGGAATGTGAGGTGCTGCCCCCCCATAGGGCAACCGATTGTGCCATTGAATTGAAACCAGGGGTCCGTTTGCCGAAATCCCGCATGTACGCCATGACTAAACCGGAATTAGAGGAATTGAGGCGGTACATTGATAAAAACCTGGCCAGGGGTTTCATTCAACCTAGCAGATCCTACATGGCCGCACCCGTTCTATTCCAGGAGAAGAAGGATGGCGGGTTGCGTTTATGTGTGGACTTCCGGGGCCTGAATGCTGTCTGCGTTGAGCATTTATACCCCCTGCCTCTCATGAAAGACCTATTGGCTACCCTGTCGACTGGGAAAGTGTTCACAAAGTTGGACTTGCGGGAGGCATATTATTGAGTACGGATTAGGCCTGGCGATGAGTGGAAAACCACCTTTAACTGTCCTCTGGGCAGCTACAAGTTCAGGGTGATGCCATTTGGTCTACAGGGGGCACCAGCCGTTTTCATGCAGGTAATTAATGAAGTCCTGCATGAACACTTATATCGGGGTGTTCTCGTCTATTTAGATGACATTTTCATCTACACCAAGACAATGGAAGAGCATATAATATTGGTGCGACAGGTACTCCTGAAACTTTTACGAGCGAAAATGTTTGTAAAACTGTCGAAATGCGAATTCCACTGCACACAGCTAGACTACTTGGGCTATAGTATCTCAGGGGATGGGATAGGAATGGACCCAAAGAAAGTACGCGCAGTGATGGACTGGCAGGCACCCAAAACACGAAAGCAATTACAGAGTTTCCTTGGCTTTGCAAATTTTTATTGCCAGTTCATACCAGCATTCGCGCAGATAGCCCTCCCGTTAACAAACCTGCTCCGCACAAAAGACACAGGCCTGAAGGCACGTCCAGGGCAAGCGTTGATGTGGTCCCCTGAGTGTCAGCAAGCGTTCGACGGGTTAAAGACTTTGTTCTCGCAAGCTCCAATCCTTCAGCATCCAGATCCAACCTTGCCGTTTGTGGTACAGGCCGATGCCAGCGATGTGGCTGTGGGGGCGGTCCTTATGCAGAGAACCGCAACAACTGGATTGGTCCCTTGTGCATACACGTCTCGCAAGTTAACCCCCACAGAGAGGCGTTGGGCCATTTGGGAGAAAGAAGCATTTGTTGTTCAGTGGGCTTTGCTCACCTGGTGGCATCTATTAGAGGGCAGTGGGATGAAGTTCGAAGTGTGGACAGACCATAAAAACCTGGAAGCACTGCAGACCCCAAGGCGCCTATCGCCAAAACAAGTGAGATGGGCGCAGTATTTCCAAAGCTTCGACTTCAAGCTCAAATATGTCCCAGGAGGTAAGAACTTTTTGGCGGATGCTTTATCACGTCTCCCTCAGTATAATAGTAAAAAAGAACAAGTAGTACAAGCATTGATACCGAGAGCTCAACAGGTGGGCCGGACGTCCCATAGTACGCCATTCCAGTGGGAGAAGGAGCTGCAATGTGCACTAGCGTCGGACGCCTGGGTGGCGGAACATAAAACAGTATTAACACATCGAAAAGGTTTCACCTGGATGGGAACCAAACTATACATTCCCCTGACCCTGCGACAAAAAGTATTACACAAATGTCATGATGTTAAGACAGCTGGTCATTTTGGCTTCCTCAAAACATTACATCTTGTACGGCGCCAATTCTGGTTGCCCCGTATGAGAAAAGATATCGAGGAATATGTAAAAGGTTGTAAGGTGTGTGCAGGTGCTAAACCCCGGCCCGGAAAACCTCTCGGCCTCCTGCAATCCGTGGCAGAACCAAACCGACCATGGGAGGAAATCGCTATGGATTTCATCGTTGATCTCCCAGAAAGTAACGGGTATACTGTTATATGGACTGTAATAGATCTTTTCTCAAAGCAGGCCCACTTCATACCATGTCGAGGATTACCCTCGGCCCGTAAATTGTCCAAAATGTTCCTAGTACACATTTACCGTTTACATGGCGCACCTCACCGTATTATATCAGATAGAGGTGTTCAGTTCAAAATTCTGGTGTAACTTTGTAACTATGATTGGTTCATCACAAGGATTAAGTTCCGGGTTTCACCCGAGTACAAATGGTGCAGCGGAATGAGCAAACGCTATGATAGAGCGCTATTTATGGTGTTATATATCATACCAACAAACAGACTGGTCAGAGTTACTTCCTTTTGCCAAAATAGCCTATAATAATGCAGTCCATGGGAGTACAGGGGTCACCCCATTCCATGCAGTCTCTAGTAAAGAATTTTCCACCATCCCAGAACTCAAAATGCAAATGCAAGAACAGGTGGTCCCTGGTACCTGGGCCGCTCGCATTGGTAGGGGATGGCCCCATATAAAAGAGGCCTTAGAAAAGGCGACACTTATGCAGAAACACCAAGCTGACAAAAGGAGAGCAGACCATAAACAATTCATGGTTGGAGACAGAGTATACTTCTCTACCAAATACTTAAAACTACGAACACCGAGTCGTAAGTTGAGTCCCAAATATCTCGGTCCGTTTCCTATCATAAAGGTTATAAATCCAGTCACAGTTGAGCTCAAATTACCACCGTTACTTGGTAAGGTCCACCCTGTCTTTCATAGTAGCTTACTGAAGCCAGTAGATATAGTCCGGGAACCGGTGCTTAAGCCCGCGCCGGTAAGAGAAAATCAATACAAAGTAGAGCAGGTCCTAGATTCGAAAATTAGTAGAGGAAAGCTCAAATATTTACTCAAATGGAAGGGGTATCCTTTCGAGGAGACGTCGTGGGTAACCTCTACTGATATAGAGGCTGACCGCTTACTCAAACAGTTTCATAAGCGGTATCCCCATAAACCCGGGCCCTGGGGTACAGAAATGAAACCCTGATATGACGCTAACATGTCTATTTGTATCTTCCAGGAGGGTCCCTGGTAGGGGGAGCTGCCTGTCGAGATCCGCTTGACACCTCGACCTGCTGCCGGGATCGAGGATCCGACCACTGTGACGGGCCACGGGAGTCGACTACGGGGGAGGGCGGTGACAGGAGCTCTGGGAGCTATTTGAGCTATTTACACTGGTGATGGGGGGTGCTAGTGTAGCAATAGGCGGCCGGTCACGGTTGTGGCCGGGAAAGGGATAAGCTTTTTGCCTTACTGCCATAGCGTTTACAGGGGCGATGGCCCGGTAGCGCATGCGCAATAGAACCCGGAAGGGCGGTGGTTAGGCTACTTTGCTGGCGCACTGTTTAAAAAGCGTTGGGAGGCAGCCACTCCCAATGCCGACTTTGTGTATTCTGCATACCGTCAGCTTTGCTGTGCATCGTGTGGAGGACTGTGTATATCCAATAAACCATTGCAGCAAGCCGTAGCTGTGCGTGTTCCTTTCACTCTTACACGGATATGCAACGCATTCCTGACAGAGAGGATGGTCATAAGTGCGAGGAGCAGTCAAAAGTGCGAGGACCGGTTAGAAATCACTTTTTTCGCGTTTTCGGTCTGGCTTCCATCGCCACCAGTTAGAAAGAAGCAAATACACATTTATTTATTCTTCACGTTCTACAAATATAATTTGGTGCCTTTGCCAGTGAAAAATGGTGCTTGGGAGGGTCCTGCGGGGGAGGGGGGGTGCGCTGACAGAGGCCTAGCAAAAACATGGAAAAAAGAAAACAAAAAACAAAAAGGATAAATTTAAAAAAGGGAAAGAGAGCAAGGAAGGGTTGCCCCCCCTGCGCCCCCCTTTGCCTTCAGCCCTAATTCCTTCTGGGCCTTGGAGTCCATGGGGCGCAAAGGGGCCGGAGGGCCTCCACCCTGACTTTCAACAGCGCCCTCAGCTCCATTTCTCCTTGTCCCCCACGGCAGATGAGGAAGTGCAAAAACGGGAAGCCCCAAAACAGAACTGCTGAGTGTCCACTACGCCCTTTGGCTTCCGCTTCTGCTTCCACTCCGGGTGGGTCACCCTCCGGGCAGCCCTGCCAGCCCCTCCATGGGAGCCCTGAAGCGGTGCAAGGAGAGAAGCGGGAGCGACCCAGAACACCCGTTGCCTCTACTCCTAACTTACTCCACGGCTACCGCTACTCCTTCTCCAACTCTGCCCCGGGCCTTTCTGGGTTTTTTCTGTGTGGGACGGACCGGCCGGGCCCCTGCTGCCTTCCATCCTTTCTAAGGTAGGTAAAATGAGGACCCAGATTGTGGGGGCAATAAGCTGACTTTGTATAAGTATACAAAAGTATGAAGGCTATTGCTTAATGCATTGTAAGCCGCCCTGAGTCTCCGGAAAAGGGCGGCATATAAATCAATTTTTTTTTTAAAAAAAGCGACATTTCCATTGCGCCTGATGTTGTTCCTTCTCACTGACAATAGACCAAATCTTCTTGACTGCAAATTCTGTGTGTTTTTCTTTACAAACAGTCCCTGAGAAAAGGCGTCTAGAAAACAGACGTTGGGATGGTCAAAAGTGCGAGGACCGGTCAGAAATCACCTTTTTGAGCCCTCTGGGTAGTAGTCCCTATGTGCATATCGACTACTCACAGGGCTGAAAAAGTTATTTTTGACCGGTCCTAGCACTTTTGACCTGTCCTTGAACTTACAACTGTCATCACATTTTACGTTTTGCGCTCTATCTTGTCACCGTGGTGAAGAGAAGTAGTGGTGAAATGAATGACACGGTTGTTAAGAATGCCGCAACAGGCATAAATGTGAGGATGGTCATAAGTGTGAGGACCGGTCAAAAGTGCGAGGACCAGTCAGAAATGACTTTTTTCAGCCCTCTGGGTAGTCCCTATGTGCATATGGACTACTCACAGGGCTGAAAAAGTTATTTTTGACCGGTCCCTGCACTTTTGACCTGTCCTTGAACTTACAACTGTCATCACATTTTATGTTTTGCGCTCTATCTTGTCACCGTGGTGAAGAGAAGTAGTGGTGAAATGAATGACACGGTTGTTAAGAATGCCGCAACAGGCATAAATGTGAGGATGGTCATAAGTGCGAGGAGCAGTCAAAAGTGCGAGGACCAGTTAGAAATCACTTTTTCAGCCCCCTGGGTAGTCCCTATGTGCATATGGACTACTCACAGGGCTGAAAAAGTTATTTTTGACCAGTCCCCGCACTTTTGACCTGTCCTGGAACTTACGACTGTCATCACATTTTACGTTTTGCGCTCTATCTTTTCACCGTGGTGAAGAGAAGTAGCGGTGAAATGACTGACACGGTTGTTAAGAATGCTGCAACGGGCATAAATGTGAGGATGGTCATAAGTGCGAGGAGCAGTCAAAAGTGCGAGGGGACTTCCGGTTTGCTGCTTGTCCCCGCTGGACGCTCCTTCGGGATCGTCGAACCCACTGCCTGTAAGAGCCGCCTTTTTCAGCAGAATGGCGGCTCGAAAAAACTCCGTTTCCATTAGGAAACGGAGATAGAGCCGGCTGGGGTGGGTAGAGTCCTCTGCCTAATCCCAAAAGTTTTTTATTTACTTTTGGGAGGGAGCGGAAGAGACTCCCCGTATCCCCAGCCGATGCTCCGGGCTCTGGGAAATCTCTGCTACACGCAGAGGTAGGGGGCAAAAGCAAGCCTGTAAATCTGTCAAATAAATTAATTAAAGAAGATATGAGCTGGACCTCTGATCCTGAAGCGCAAGTATTTTTTTTTATTCTATTTTGCCTAAGAAGTGAAGTGAAGGGAAAAAAGTTTTTTTAAAATGGCGATTGCTGCTGCGGCTTGAAGAGAGGCTGAAAGGGAAACTCCTTCCGTTTTCAATTACAAAGTAGCGGAATGAATACTTTTGGCTGTAACTGAAGGCAAAACCTCACTCTCACTTCTGTTTTTTTTTCTTTTTTTTTCCTTGGGGATCTGATATTGATCTTGGTTGGAAAAAAGTTTTTTTTTTTCTCTTTTCCAGTAAATTTTGTCTGCGTGGAAAAATGGCACTGAGACTTATAAAGCTAGACAAACAGGCAGTGGGGGGGGGGATTCCCCCATTAATAAATTATATCAACAAGTTTTAACTCTCCAGTCTCAGAAACCTGACTTTAATATAATAGAATTTCTTCTTGAGGAGATTGTAAGAAGGGATGAGATTGTGAATCAGCAACTTGAAAAATTTAAGTTGGAAATCAAAGATATTGGTGAATTGGTGAAATCTAAGTTTGGCTTTTTGGATCGAAAGATTTTAAAAACAGCTAATGGCTTAGCAGACTTTGTGATTCAGTTGGATGCAAATACTAAATTATTAGAGTCTAAAATGAAAGAAACTGAGGAGAATTTGGATGACAAGATCCAAAAAATTAAAAAGGATTTGGCAAACACTCAGGATAATAGTTCAGAAGACAAACTTAAAATGGAGGCTGATCAAAAGACTGGTAATGAAGAAAATGTACAACAGAGGATTGAAAGCGAAGTTTTAATGATCCAACACAATTTTACAGAATATGCAATTAGACTGAGAGGTCTGCAGGAAAATGACAGAGATGATTTAAGGAAGATATCTTCTGAAATTCTGGCTGGGATTTTAAAGGTTCAACCTGATGAAGTGTTTTGCAGGATTGACAGAATTTGTAGAATAAACTCCTGGTTGGCAAAACAAAGGCAATTGCCTAGAGATGTGGTGATTTATTTTACAGACAGAGAAATTAGAAATAATATTGTGCAGAATTCTTATAATTCTACTTTGCAATTTCGTGGAAGAAAGATTTGGATTTTTAAGGAACTCCCGCCCAAGATGTTAATGGAGAGGAAGAAATTTGGTTTTCTAGTGAATGAGTTAAAAAAAAGGAATATTTTATTTAGGTGGGACGTCCCAGTTGGTTTAATATTGAGACACCAAGGAGTAAGATACCAACTGAATACTGTCGAAAAAGCGGAAGAATTTTATCAAAAAATTTTAAAAATAAATTTAACATCTTTAGGCATAACACAGGACAAGCAAAAGGAGCTGGAAATAAAGGGAAAACATCAAATTACAGAGGCTGTGGTAGATAAACTGTCTTCGGACTCCTTGGATACCCCAGCTGGACTGTCTATAAATTTGAGAGCAGTGTCATCTGATTCTAATGTGATGAATTATCAAGTTACAGACAAGTGTGTAAATCAACCAGTTGATATACAAGTGATGGGAAAGACATATGAGATAATAAAACAAAACCAACAAGATCAATTTACAAAGCAGAATGACAACCGATCAGCTGATACACAACTTGTAAGAAGGAAATCTGGATGGAAATGCAACCCGCAAAAGAAAAAGAAAAGAAACAGATCTCGTAGAAATAGTAGTTTCTAAACCAAGCAACAGTGAAGCCAGGGATTTTAAAAAATAAATAAATATGTGAAAAGATATTGGAGGCGAATTATCGTTTAATACTATCTTGAGGAAAGTGGCAGATCTCTGCAATGCCGTGATTTTGGGATGTGGAAAGAGCCTTACATTGTTGGATTTGAACTATCTATTTTGGATTTCTTTTACCGATAAATATATTATAATTATTTTGAGTTACAAGGCAAGAGAGTCATGCTGGGGCATGCAGAAGATCTGGCTGTTACCCACTAAGATGATGGGAATTTATAATCCTGATGAAAACCACAATTACAACTATATGGAATATAATTATAATGTCACTCGGGTGGTTGTTTTTACTTTTATATATACATGAGGATATTCATTATTGATGGGGGCAGAAGATGACTGAAGATTTTGAATAAACTGTTGCACCAGGATGCTATGTTACCCTATTATGGATGATGGATTTAACAATCTAGTGGAAAGACATCAAAGAAGATACTAAATGAATTATAAATTTAAAGTTATTGTCTTTTCTCTTTTTATAAAATGGAATGTATATATAGACATATGTATAATTTAGCAGAGTGGGCAGTGGATTATATTTAGAATTGTAGTGTATGGTAATCTTGCAGGAAACTGGGTTGAAATAGGCTAGTTTAGTGATTGATTAGTTTAAGAAAAAGGATTTTTAAGTCATATATTTTGGGGAGTGGAAGAATTGGATAGAACTGAATAAATGTTAAATTTGGAGAAGGCTGCTTTGAAATGTTATATTAATATATATAAAAGATTAAAGGTTATGTTGTTGTAATAATAATAATATTTTATAAGTTTGGGGGAGGAGAAAAAGGGTAGATTATTGCGAAAAGCGGAGAAAAGCGGAGTTATAAGAATATTATGCTAAGGGTCAGTACTTTGAGGAGTGAGTAAGGGCATGGTAAAATATTATGTAATTAATTATGAATTAGCTTATTGTTGTGAAGAAGAAGTCACAGGGGGGGATGGGTGGTGAGGGGGGTTAGGGAAGAGGGGGGGAAAGGGGGAAAAACTTGTATTTGAAAACTTTTTCAATAAAAAAAAAAAAAAGTGCGAGGACCGGTTAGAAATCACTTTTTACGCGTTTTCGGTCTGGCTTCCATCGCCACCAGACGGTCCTCTGAGACCGCCAGCCCCGTTGCCTGTAAAGAGCCGCCTTTACATCTGAAAGGCGCCTCGAAAAACTCCATTTCCTGAAAGAAATGTGAGTCAGAGCAGGCGAGGGCAGGTAGAGCCCTCTGCGAAGTCCCCAGAGTTTTTTTTTTTTTACTCTTGGGGACAAGCAGGTTGTGGCTCCCTATTTCCGCTCGCTGCTGCTCCGGGCTTTGGGAGAACTCTACCTTTTTGCAGAGCCAGGCGCTGGGACTGGACCAATCAACGAAATTAACAGATGGACTAATTAAAAAGGACGAGATTTGGACTTGGGACCCTAAATCGCAAGTATTTTTAATGATTTTACAAGCGTTTCAGAGTGAAGGAAAAAAAAAGTTTAAAATGGCGACTGCTGAGGCTTGAGAAGAAGAAGAAAGCCGAAAGTAAAAGTCCTTCCGTAACAAGCTACAAAGTAGCGGAATAAACAGTGCTGGCTAGAATCTGGAAGAAAAATATCTATTTTAAGTTTCTTTTTTCTTGGAGATTTGTACTTGATCTTGTTTGGGGAAAAGTTTTCTTTCTTTAAAAAGAGTTTGTGTGGCAGGATGGTGTTAAAACCAATAAAGCCTGACAAACTAGCAGTGGGGGGGGGTGTTCCCCCATTTACAATTATGTGAACAAGCTCTGAGCTTACAGACTCAGCAGAATGGATTTAATTTAAAAGAATTTGTCCAGGAGGAAATGGCAAGATATCACGAGACTGTG